AGGAAAAATAGAACGAGCCAAACCAGCATGGGCGATCCACGTGTTTACACGTTCCTGTTCCCACGTACGTTGAAGCAGGACTTTGCAATCGCTTACCATCTCGCCTCATTATGTCGCTTATCTCCCATCTCGAGAGACACGATTCTGCTTCCGCGCATGAAAATCTTACCGACGCGTCGCGTACATGCGCCGTGCGATCCCGACGCTGGCAATTTGTTGCGAGTTAATTCTTGCTGAATCAGATCAGATGAAACGGAACGAAAACGATACGTCCGGGAGTCGGGCATCGCGACTCGTGGAAGCAAATCTGCAAGGCTAGTATATTCCAAATATTCACCGTTCGACCTCGTTTATTCCTTAGCTTAAATGTTTTGCTCGAGCAATTGGGATTGAGAATCCGAAATGGTTCAGTTGCAAGTTTACCAAATTTCGTGAAGTTGTTAGAATATTTCCTCTGGTTTCCTTGAATTTTAACGTCGAATCTTAGAAGTGGTCAGCGGACAGAACAGCCGCCATTTGTATATCCACCTCCATAAATGGCGTCCCGAGTTTTCTTCCATTCTGTTCGAAACAGACGTGTTTCTGCTCGCAATTTAAATATTTTTATTTGTTTATTTAACCTTCTTCTGCTCTCGCGAAAGGTATGCCTACAAAATAGGTAGATGGAACTAGAACGCGCAAGAGGTGTGGCTAAAATGCTGCTATTAAAATCTAACCTCAATTAAAATCTAACTTCAATTTATAGTAGCCTGTATATGGCGATCTATACGCGGCAACCTGAGTACGGCAATCTGTATCTAGGAGATACGGTGGAACAGCCGACGTATGAAAATGTCGAAAGAGTCCTGCAGTTCTCCCTCCCCCGTCCTTTTCCTCTCTCTATACGGATCTCCCGCGACATCGCGCGATACATCCGACGAAAAATCGCATCGACGGTCGATACGACCGATCGAGTGGGAAAGTAGCAACCGAACGAGGCTTTGAGGCTGCTTCCCAGTAAACGCCACACCCTCCCGCGACTTTGTGAATCACGAGACACGAGTCACGCTCGGTGCTCGCAAGGACGACGTCGTTTTCTTCCTCGAGCAACCGCGGAGGTCTTTTTTCCCGATCACGAGACCTCGCGTAGCACGGCGCCGAGCAGAGATTTCACACGTCTCCAGGGAACGAAAGGCGTTACAGCGGCTTCCTACCTCCCGCTATCTCGAAATTGGACTATGAAAATTTATGTTCCACCCTTTTCTCTCTTACCTTTTTTTTTTTACTGCGCTTTTCCCACGCGGTGGCGTTCCCCGCAGTCCCTGGTTAAATACGTGAGCGGTTATTTATCACTTGTTTATCGAGCAAACTCGATTTATGTAGTTCATTTACTTTTCATAATTGTTTTAAAAAAGTCAGTCTTTAAACGACGCCCCAGGCACCTGACGCCTCGTAGGAAGTGAAATTGCTCGGTCATCGAGGTTCTGCATCGCTGAACGAACGCAGGATCTTTCCTAGAACCGTGACTGTTCGACTCACTGAAATCGTACGTAGAACAGAAGAACGGTAAATGGTTCAATGTCGATCGACGGAAGGCTTAAATCATGCCACCGTAATAAACGTAACTCGTGTGAACGTAAGGACTCTTCAGCTCCCACTTCATTACGGATGCACCACTACAGTTGTTTAAGTACGTGTCCGTGTAATTAACGGCAGCCCCTATGATGAAAACGTATTTGGCGCGCCTCTCAGCGTGAAAACAACGACGACTCGGGGTCCAAGACGGAACTAGGTACGTGGCCGCGTTCAAGTGACTGTTAGCCTGATTTCGAGCGATCCATTAACTCGGGATTTCTTGATGGAAACCTTGCAACCTTGCTTTGCCATCCGTAGACAGCTTAAATTAATCCTATCTTAAGCAAATCCTGCTTATGACGGCTCTCGATCAATTACCGATAGACGAACGAGCGGCGAGAACGTATTCATTAACTTACGAGCTTCTCTTTGCCCTCCGAGCTTAACTTAGGAGGACAAAGTGATTGATACCTCTCAGCAAACGCTGCTGCAACAATCTTGCTCCTTGGTACTAACAAAAAAAAAGTTAGCATCGTTGTTGCAAAAGTTTTTCCGCGGTCCATTTCATTCCTCAAAGCGACTCGATCTTACGTAGCGTAAATAAATTACGAGCTTCGTGTAAACCACTCCCAAGGCACGATGAATCGTTGTTAGGTGTCGCGCGGCTATCCTCATTATTTTACATGCTACAAAAAAGGGATTTCGGTCTAAGAAAAATATATTCCGCAAGCCTAGTCCTTTTCGATGAGAATAAAACGAAAATGGACCCGATATGGTTGACAGTTTCGGAGATAAAAATATCATTTATGCAGACAAAAATAGGGGTCTTGGACGTCCTGTATTATTTTAATAAGTTTGGAGTAAGCAAAGTAGTGGTTTAAACCCGTTCTAATTTTACATGGGGCTACGTGATATTTGAATTTCTATAGAACCACTGACATCATCCGCGAGAAGTGATCGATTTGGCGTAGAACGAACCCTTTCCCCTTTCGACGCGTCTGCCAGCACTCAACCCCTCACCTAACTCCACCTATCCCATCTGTTTGTCACCGTGGTACTATCTCTCCGTTCCATACGTGTTGTTACCCATCTCAGGGATTCTCAACGGAGGCCATGTGCCACCATCTTCTACACAAGGAGGTCGTGTAAGATATTTTTTGAGTTGGGGAGCTACAAGCTAGAGAAAGTTGAGGGACGCTGCTGTATCACATATTACAAAGAATTGATATACTTTTACTCTCACCACCGAACAATAATAGTGAAAAGCACAAAAATAAATCGAGATTAAAAGAGGACCAAAGTAGAGACGGTTGAGAGACACTGCTCTATCGCATATTACAAAAAAAAAGTTGGTATAATTTTACTCTTACCAACAAACAATCACTGGAAGTGGAGACACGAAAATAAATCGAAGTTAGAAGGGCACAAATTATGAAAAGTTGAGAGCCCCTGTCATATCAGAGATCACATCTTCGCGCACACGCAACCTTACCTTCCGCCACTTTCCCTCGGTCGCGCGTATGGAAACGTGGTAGCCAGAGGGGAGACGCTGCGGTCAAGAATACAGGACCAAGGAAACTTTTATTAATACCGGAGATCCGGAGGGGGTTGGTATTAAATCGAGGAAATGGACGACGATTAATGTCAAGGGACAGGAAAAAACATCGATCCTTCGACAGAGATTGTTGCAGATGCGATCGCTTATGATTTTTGGCGAACTGATGCCAGGAGAGTCGATTCATTCATCATTTGTAGGTTAGGTCAGTGTCTCTCAACCTTGGTCCATCGATCCGTGGGGATCCATTAGTTTCTATATGCATATTATTATCGAAGATACATTAAATAATATTGTCCGTTCAGATTATTACATTCAACTTATTATTTTCTCGGGTATTTTCTGGAATTCGTCGAACCTCCCTTCGAAATCCGGTATCCCCAGATAGATATGCTATATAGTAAGTCTTCGATTAACCGAGGTAATGCGAACGAGAGCCAGTCGGATAAAATTGATATCCTCAAGTAAAATGATTGAAGCCATATCTAGCGTAGAAAATAAACTTATTCTATAACAGGAAACGTAAGTCGTTTCTTAATACATTTGAAATAGACAATTCGAATAATTTCAATAATTTCTTGAGCGATTCCTTAGTGGCAAATAGGTAAACTGGAAAGTGGAGCAAGAAGTCGTAATCGCAAGGAAACCGTAGCGCGATCCCTTTATCATTTCGGATTCCCCTTAGTGACCCGAACCCACAAAATCCGTGCGCGACAGGTTCCAATTCATTAATCTTCGTCCCCTTTATCGCCGTGGCGAGGAAGCTAGAACTCGTATCTGCTTGAAGTTCGGCTCGAGGAGGTGAGAAAGAAAGGGGAACAGGCCAACCATAACGTGTACCCCTTAGCTATACAGTATCGCGCTTATTTTTTAGCCGTACTACTACTTTTATGCCTTCCCTGTTGTTTTTCGAGGTAGATGATGTTCCTCTTCTTTTAGAAGTAAATATTTTTTTCCTCCTGGCTATAGTAGTTGCCACGAGTGTTCATTTGGAATAATAAGCATTCATGTATACTGATAGGACCTTTAAACGACCTTGAGGTTTGAAATTTAATATGAACCTTGTTTTCGTTCGAGGCACGTGGTTCCAACTACAATTGTAGCATACGAATGTAAATCGACATGTTTACTATGAAAAATGCATTCAGATGGCAACTTATCGTCTTCATTATCATGACAATGGATCCTCGACAACGACGCGCTGTCTAATTGTAGGATTGACAATGACATCGTAATGCGCTCTCGATGAAAGTATATATTCCGAACTTGATCCCTGTATCTTCAAATTTTCATGGCTATTTCGAAGCATAAACGATTCATCAGAATCAGAAAAATTGACGGAATTACGGAAGCTCGAATACAGCCACCAGGACTAATTGCCACAGCTACTACTAGCGCCACCAGCGGAAAAGTTCGTGTTACCTTTTGTACGATATCATTTCATCATCAAATATCACATGATTCGATTAGATCAGGTATACAGAATCAAATAAAAACCTATGGATCGAATGAAGATATCAGCCAAATATTGCTTATTTATTGCGAAAAGAAAATATGGGTATTTAGCTCCATTTTATGCCACTTAGCCAAATGTTTACATCGTCAATGGCGCCATCTACTTTGCACGGTTGAACAAGCACTGACGCGAGAATAGGGGTCTGATTAACATACGTTTCGCATGCTCTTTATCCGTGACGCGGTCAGAGGAGGGTTCGCCAGTTTCGAGAGGAGATATTAGCATCATAAAGCAGAAACCGGAGGATTGGTTTCTGGCCTGGCGAGGCGGATATGCGTTTCGTGCGTGGCTGGCTGGGTCGATGTACACACACGATTGCGTTGTTCCCGGTACAACTCCGTTCCATATTCACGTTTCGTTGCTCGGTGATTGCAGCGCCTCTGGCAGGATGGGAACGCCAAGGAAGTCATCGGACCCCTTCGAGTCGTTCATCGCTACGTCAACATGCCTGAGGAAACAGTCGAATTTTACAACGAGACCACTGGGGAAACCGAAATGGTGAGAATGTTTATTTCTTTTTTAAAGGGACACCACGTACATTGTTTTTACTAATCACGATTGATGATACTTCTCGCACTTCATCGTATGCCACCATTTAGGCTCTTCCTCGAACGGTATGATCCCAGCCCCGAGATAAAAGAGGTTGATTCCTGCGATAAAAACGCTACCCAATTTAAGTGCTCACGAGCGGATCCGATAGACTCGTCACTTTATCAAGACTTACTGTACAGGGTGACCCTTCGTGATCTTTCCACACCGTTATCTCCGCATCTAGTGGTCATTTAAGAGATGTTTCGGATCACTCTGTTTCGAGGGGGACATGTGTTTGAGTACCATAATCTTTGTCCACGTGTAGATGCTTTAAAGGTGACCTTCGTATTGTTTACAAGATTCACTTGGACTTACTTGTTTGTCAACATATACCTTCCCCAACTGAAATAAATTGAACTAAAACATACTATTACATTTGGAGATAACGACGTGGAAGGCGATGTGCCATCCTGTATTATCTAGCCGTTACGTCCACGCGTTTAGGCTAATATCTGAGGTTGTCCTGAGGTTGGCTGGCTGTATTCATCGATTTCCACTCGATTTGGCAGGTTCATGGCTGCCAGCCCGCCATGGGGTACAGTTTCGCTGCAGGAACGATCGACGGGCCAGGTTCCTTCGCGTTCGAGCAAGGCACCACCACGGCCAATCCTCTGTGGAACGCGGTTAGAAATTTATTGGCAGCCCCCACGCCCGAGGACATCAAATGCCACAGCCCTAAACCCATTCTACTCGCCACTGGGCGGGTAAGTTTCCCCCAACAAGATCATAATCGCGAAGATTTGACTTTTATATTCTTACAAACGAATTGTCACAGTCAGAAAGATTGACAGAGTTGCAGAAACTTGGACAGAGAGGCCCGGACCATGAAGACTATATAAGGAGATCCAACTCTCTACGAAAGTTACTAGAAAACTGTTATCAAAATCCCGAGCTTTAAGTTATAAATATTTCTACCACTTGCGGCGCAAGTGCGCACAGACTACGATATATATATACATACATATATATATATATATATATGTCATATGTGTATGTATTATCACATATATATCGTAGTCTGTGCTCACTTGCGCCGCAAGTGGTAGAAATATTTATAACTTAAAGCTCGGCATTTTGATAACACTTCTACACTACACAGTTGGAACTCCTTATACAGTCTTCATGGCCCGGACTAATAGCCATGCCTACTACTAGCGCCGCCAGCGGCAAAGCGACGAACCATAAACCTAGGAAATTCGTCGTTCCTCCACTCGCGGCGCTAGGAGTAGCTTGTTTAAATTCATTGTAAAAGATGATCGTAGAGTTAACCTGTTGAACTGTCCAGGTGAAGACCTTTAGATTTATCAGGAACGTTGTTGTTTTCCAGATGGTTCTGCCGTACGAGTGGCAGCCAAAAATTGTGTCAACGCAGGTGGCTCTGATTGGGAACGTCCTCATCGCTGGTGTCCCAGGAGAGTTCACAACAATGTCCGGAAGAAGATTGCGACAGGCCATCAGCACGGTCATGAACGACGTCGCGTCCAACGACGAAACCTCCATTATAGTGGCTGGCCTCTGCAATAGTTACAGCGATTACATCACCACGCCGGAGGAATATCATGTAAATCATGGATTATATTCTTACCTCCGCGCTTTGCATATTTCTAGCGGATAAGTCATTTTCCAGTCATTAAAATCGATTAAAGTAGACTGTTCTCAAAGACGTTTGTCAGATTTGAGGTTATGTCGTAAATGTTGGACCACGGCTGATCGATTGTTACCGGTGAAAAGTTATATTTGTTGGTTATAGTTACTGCTAATCTCAATTTATGTTTGTTTTTTAGATTCAGAGGTACGAGGGGGCGTCCACCATTTATGGGCCACATACGCTCACGATTTATCTGAAGGTATACCAGGATCTGGTGACTGCTGCTATCCTTGTAAGCATTAGTACAAATATGACTTGTTGCTTTAAAATCGTGATCGCGGTAGAAACTGAAAAACCCGGCGACAGATGGCGCTAGGAAGATGGGCCTATTAACCTCTGTCGGGTCCTCAGGAGCTTTGTTTCATTGCACGTAGCTAAGCAAATGCAAAATAACACTGATACCCTTATAAATAAAATTCAACCTGTCTCGCGAACAGTCCCAAATTCTTTCCATCTCCCAGCAGTACACACGTGTTCTAAACGTTGAAGAAACTTCGTTATCGCTTCAGAAATCTCCGGTGGACCCTGGTCCAGCACCCCCCCACCTCAGAAAGAAGAATCTGCTCACCTTTGTGACGCCAGTTCTTTACGACACGCCTAAATGGGGCCAGAATTTCGGCGATTGCATCAAACAACCTCAGAGACTCGCCTCGCCAGGGGATATCGTCACGGCTGTTTTCGTAAGTGACCATCTAGAACTCTTTATTTCGTGTTAGGACACACCAAACGACGTCCGTGACCCGGTCTGACCTCGTCAGTTGTATAAAGGGGTTACGCAAGGACTCATAATCGAAATTGTACACAGCATTGCGTGCAGTTCCATTTCGAGAACATCGTTGCAACTGGTTTCGAGAAACGAACGATTTCTATTCGTTGTACTACACTAAACTACCGTGAGACGTAATGGAAGCGCTCTGTACATCAATGAACATCGCTGAATACGTTCATGGAGGCGTCAAAATTATTTATCGATCTTGCAACGACGAATACAGCGCGTAATTGGACGATCTCGTTTTAAATCGCAGTTACGTGAATTATTATATTTTTTATTGGAAAAGAGATGCACGTGTCCGATAATGCGGAAATTGTGTTACTTGGAGCTTGCATTCAATTATGAGTTTTTATAAAGGTTGACATTTTCTAATGCATCGTTCGTTAATATTTATACTTCGTATTTGTTCATTTCTTGGACAGATTTCTGGTCATCCACGTAACAACTTGATGACGGAGAAGACGTTCCTGACTGTCGAGAGGCTATCCGATGACGAGGTGTGGGTGCCAGTGGCCACAGATGCCAACTGGGAGACCAAGTATGGATCTCTTTCTGTTTAAACGCGATCCGTAAATGAACGATTGGAAATACCACATTTGAAATTCATTTAAAAATAGAATCTCGATTAAATTTAATCATACTTATCTCAATAACCGCTCAGGTTGATCCAAGCATTATTCATTCGCGTTCGCATACATCTGCGAAATCGAGCACGGTCTCGAGTATCGGATAAACAAGTAACGATATCCATTCCGTTGGTGTCATCGATAACAGGTTTGAATGGAAGAGGACATCGGTGGTTCTTGGCGCGAGTCAGGTGACCATTACGTGGCAAGTCCCAGAAGGCATCAAACAGGGTGAATATCGTATCAGGCATAACGGCTACTACCGCTACATCCTAGGCGGCGTTTTTCCGTACTACGGGGTATCGAACCACTTTCAGGTAAGTTAAAAAGTCTCAAGAAACTCCGAAGTACCAGTACAGCTTCTCTAACCTCAATAAACCGTGAGCTACGCGGTATATTAATTGGGTTGGTAACGTAAGACTCTGCGGCTTCGTTATTTTCCAATAAAGATAACTTGATTACGCAAAGTTCGCTATTTTAAGTCCGAAAATTATGTTCATTCGAGCGCAAAAGATCGTTTTTGATTATCTTGATAATTAATTTGCTTTGTTTTGTTGCGAAACTATAGTTTACAGTAATCTAAGATAGAAGTTTACTTTCTTTGGCTTATCTTAACGCTGTTACTCATAGTTGTGCGTTTCAGGTGGTTCCTTGGCCGGATAATCGCGGACAACGCTACTACGAATAACAACCCACGGTGCTTTTATCCTGAACGAACTGCTTACGCTTAACCTGCCACTGAATCCGCTTAGATTCAGTCGCTGGGGCCATAGGACACACGGTACCTCGTGTTATCTTTTGTACAGCTGTGTATATTGATCTCCTTGAGCCGAGGCCGCGGCTTCGGGTCGAAAAGGACACGCGTGACGTGTCTTGTCGAACAGATATATTAAAAATGTGATCGTTTATCGAATATAGCAAATAAACCAAGACCTACCTAACCATTTCGCTCCTTATCCGCATAGCAAGTTCTTCAGAGAAGAGCGTGATCACGAAGATTCGAGTTTCAAAGTGGACAGGACTAATTATCGTGCCTACTACTAGCGCCGCCAGCGGGAAATCGACGAACCAACCGCTAAGTCTAGGTAACTCACGAATGTATAGAACGAATACTCCGCAAAATTGGCATTTTCTCGCACGAAAAATCCTGGAACCGATATCTGCCGTCCCCCTTGATCGATAATCCTGTCTTAAAGAAGCCTCCGTTCCTCGTAACGCCGGACTTTACGACGCAAAGTTCATTTCGCGGCAGTTTGCACGCGTAGACGGGATTCCCCTGCATACAAATGAGTAAAAACTTTCCACATGAAAGGAATCCGTCCTTGGGAATCCCCGAAATTTTGGAATTCTCGTCAACAGCGTCGACTTTTATAGTGACCCTAAGTTAGGGCGTCGGAGCTCGGAAAGTATCGAACAGTGGACTGAGATTAAAGAAAATTCAGACACTCTGTAATATGCGAGTGATGGATCCTGGGAGTTTTAATACTCTATTACGGCGATCGTGGGAGAAGAAAGGAGGAGCGAGGTGCTCGTTTTAAAAATTAATCAAATTCGTTCGATCGAGTATCAGAAAACGGAATGCAATTCCCTTGAAAGGAACCAATTCCGAGGAACGTCTTCGTTGATCCCTTCGTTTTGAAACACGGTCACCGCGACTACGATAACTTTTTACTCTGCACGCGAGCCTCGTGGTCCGGAGAGCTCGACTTTTAAATAAATTGATTCGTTTGGTATGGAAAGCTACAGTTCACCGGCAATCATGCGAAAAATTTCCTTTCAGGTGGATGAAAAATAACGGTAACCCAAATTAACCACTTTGCATCTGGAACACTTGGTCGTTTATTCATTTTAATCATGTAGAATTTACGTGTATATGTATAGCATTATCTCAGAATTATACATTTTGAAGCTCACTGGTGTGCCGTACTTTCAGTTAAAAGGTAAAGTACGATTACTGTTGTTAACCTAATCTCGCTAACCATAAGAAATTTGTCAGCCTCGAGTTCAAAGACCTAAGCGAATAACAGCGAGCCAAGGTCAGGCAGAATTTTATCGCAGCTCATTAAAAAATATAGGTTATTAACGTGTTCCTCCTTGCCCGCGTAAACCTAAACGAGAAAATAACAGAGGACATAAAATGCAGTAAGGAATGCGGTCGACGGTCGAGCAAAACAGACGAATACATTTACGAGGTACCAATTAAAGGTATATCCGGTTTCTGTCGAAAGTATCTCACGGCAACCAGCATATCGTTCCTGGTACTGGACCTCCATTGCTTTGATCAGACGCCAGTTCCACTCGAGCACCCTAATTGGACGTCTCTGGAAACCCATTTATGGGAATGTAACGATATTTGTTATTAAGGAGCGTCAATTGTCGCAAGATCATAATCCATCCGCTCTGGGACTCGTATCAAGATATACAGGGTGTCCCAAAAGTCGAGGAGGAGCCGGAAATGGAGGGTAGCTGAGACGATTCTGAACAACAATTTCCTTTGCAAAAATGTCGGATGGGGTTTCGTTAAGGAGATATTAAGAGAAAACCCCGACCAATCAGAGCGCGCGTAGACCGTTCGAGCGGCCGTGGTAGCGAAGGCTACGCGCTAGGTGGCAGCGTCAATGTCCTTCGATGCACGTCGAGTCACTTGTTCGCGTACAAGCGCGGCCGCCAGCGCGTAGCCTTCGCTACCACGGCCGCTCCAGCGGTCTACGCGCGCTCTGATTGGTCGGGGTTTTCTCTTAATATCTCCTTAACGAAGCCCCATCCGACATTTTTGCAAAGGAAATTGTTGTTCAGAATCGTCTCAGCTACCGTCCATTTCCGGCTCCTCCCCGACTTTTGGGACACCCTGTATAATAACGTCATGATTGATTCGATTAAAAATATTAGTGAGTTAGCAACGTCACCTATATTTACCATAAAAGATATTGGAAACGACCTCGACCTACGATTTTCCTCGATAAAATAACAAAAGACCCGACTTCCATCAACTCTCCACCTTCTTTCAAAAATGTATTCGTACAGGGATTAAAATATAACACCCTCTGAAATCCGTTGACAACCATAAATCAAATGGATCGACCCGCATCTACCATAACGTAACTCTGTCGCTGGTGGGGTTGTTTCGACGCATACCATCCCTGGCTGCTACATGATTCGATGAGAGAAACCAGAGGAGAACAAGGTCTGGATGTCGAGGAAAACTTGCACCGTCATCCACGAGTTAAACGACGCGGACCGAATTCGACACTTGTGAACAGAAACCGAGAAAGAGAGTCCTTGCTTTCGGCTCTTCTTTCACAGCCAGGCGGATAGAATTACGCCGAGGAGGATGAGTCCGCGCAACCGAGGGTAGTTCCATACGTGAAACGAACCGAGAACTCGGCGAAAAGGGGTTGCAATGTTATCGAACGTTTCGGGGGATTTCATTCAAGCGTCCAAGATCAGTGAAACCGACTTCGAACAGAGAACAGTGAACTTCTCCGAGTGGATTCATTGGCGCAGCCGATAAAAACAATGCAATTGAAATACTCTCTCGATAGTGCAAGTAGTTTGTCGGTAAGACTCGATAATGTAGAACACTCTGTCGGCGAAACAGACCTCTCTGTTCGGTAATGTAGAACACTCTGTCGGCGAAACAGACCTCCCTCGATAATGCAGACTGCTGCGTTGGTAAATCCTGCGTCCCATCGATACTACAAATTGCATTGTATTTAAGAACATGCAATCTATTGCTCAACAAACTCACTGGAGTTAGTGTAATAAAACAAATAAGAAACCAACACAGGTGATGTTACTTCACATTTGCAGAACAGAGGCTTGCATATAACCACTACGACAGATGGACTTTGACGTCAAATATTTATACCATGCAAATAACTCGGTTTATTGCTTCGAATTCGCCAGGATCGTACACTATCTGTCGACGGAAACCGCGATCGCATCTATCATTGTAATTATTCTGCACCACGATAGGTTAGATTCTGTTGACCTAGTGATACAACCTACAAGCGTCACATGACTACGATTTATCGCAATTATTGTGGCTAAACGGTCACGCGAATGCCGAAGGTGACTATTACGTGCTTTGATTGTTTCTGAAACGACGGGAATCAATGGAGAATGAACTGCGTTAATATCGGGGCCTTTATCTCAGATGAATCCCATCAATCCGAGGTAACTACCTCATCCTATTCATCTGATCTGTCTACATATGGCGAGTCACTTGTACTAAACGTTTAAAGAATGTAGTACTTCGTCGACAAAAGTACATGGTGATCTTGATATTTCTTCCTGTGTCTCCACTCGCAAGAAAATTCCTGCCACCATGTTACGCATCCCTGGATACCGTAGAGCTTCTATGGAAACATGTTTTACTTGAGGATAAGTAAGCGCTCCAACCTCTACAATCGCCAGGGATCCAGTAGGATGCAGCAAACACGAGAACTATAATTTTAAGCCAAGAACACATAGTCTGGCGTCTTCTTTAGAGCCTCTGGTTTAACAGTGTCTCGAACTATTGCACCCTTGAGGTAATTAATCTCGTTATAGAGACATTTTAGAACAACGCTTAATCCCTTGGCTTACTTGGCTCAATTTCGGGGCTGACAAGGAGACCTCAATCGACATTCGTTGCTAAGTAAGTCTCATCATTTATTTTCATTATTATACACAATCATAATCCATCACTTATGACAGTATAGAAATTAAATCTTCCGTTTCCACTCTCTGCGGTGTTTCTTCATCTCGACCACCATCTTTCCTCCGGCACTTCAATCGAAAGAAAAGCCATCTACGGTAACGCTTTCTTCAAACGACGTTATTACAAAGAAACAAAGAAAAAAACAACGTTATCTCCAATCGCCATTTCTCATTACAATTGCTAATAAAGAATGGCAGTGAATTTTTTCCCCCGAAACTAATGTCGCGATCTTCGTAAGTAAACATTCGACTTTCACACTGGGACGGATTAATTCCGTTGATACGTTGAATCCTTTCCTGCAAACGATCAGAGGATGCACAAGGGAACAGAACTCCAAACTTGAGTCGTAACCAGAAGAACAAGGTTTCAGATTTGCATGAAATTGAGGACAGTCTATCGCTGAGGATCGGTAATGCAGAGCAGTCGATCGGTAAGCTCACTCTGCAGATAAAGGCAAAACGGTTCGTCGGTAAGGCAGATCGCTCTGCTGGGTAACGTCGAACGCTAGATCGGTAAGATAGGACGACTTGTCCTAATTGAAAGAATTGTGAAAACAATTCTTTAAAATTTAAATAATGAGGTGCAGTTTTGGCAATGTGTTTTTCTTATTATTTATACTATTAGTTAACTACATATGCAACGACAGAAGGCTAAGGTGAGAGAAATGCATACAAAAAAGAACAATACAAATTATTGAATTGAAGAGTAAATAAATTATGCAATAAATAAAATCGAATCGAGTTTAATGGATCATAAATTTTTTATGAAATATAAATAAATAAGGAGTATACGAAAGGAGGATAAGTATAAATAATTACATTAATTATAATTTTGTTTTAAATCTTTATTATGTGTAACGTAAAAACCAATATAATACAGGGTGAAATAGGTTTTTATGAGCATTGACAATCTAACTCATCATTGATATCTTCGTCGCTGGCATAATCAATATCTGCACCTTATTATGTAAATTTTAAACAATTGCTTTCCTGTTTACCAACTTATGACGATATTATCATTTTTCATGTACTTTGCCACCATTCTGTCTTCTGGCAATTGTTATCCCGGTCTTTTAAGCGATAAATAATATGAAAACGAATTCGCCAGAACTGCACCTTGTCGTTAAAATTTAAACAATTTTTTTACTACTTTATCGACTTCTGGCAACATTTAAGCCCAGACCTAGACTTCTGGCAGTAGCTTTACACGATTTCTACAGTTAAAAACTATAACATGTTTGACCGCCCGCTTATGCTTCCAGCCTCGGGAGCGCCTTCTGGCTGCAACGCTATGGTCACTGTTATCTAGTAAGGAGTGTTTTTAAATACAAATTTTCGCTGCACCTTATCATTCCTGATTTTCGTAGCCAACTGTTTCGATAAATCCTGGTAGAAAGCAACGACACAGGGTACGTACTTTATCGATACGTGAGCACAGAAATAGTGCCTGGAATCGCCCGAGTATCCACGTGCCGAATTGCCGCACGCGCTTTTGTCTCATCCACGTAATAGTCGCCAGGTTAATGTATTAAGCACGCACGGCGTAGAGGGGCACGAGCGCGAAGACGCTCCCGCGAGCAAGAGATGCGCAGAAGCGCCGCCGCTACCCTGTGTCGTTCGGAGCTTTGTAAACGTCCTCAGTCGTGATTCGCGCGCCAGAGGTGTCGGTCGTAAGTTCCCCGCGAGGGAATCGAAGTTTTCGGAAACGGTCGACCCTGTCCCCTGAAACGGGTCGTCCCCCAGGCGTCCCTGATGGGCGGTGCGTCACCAGACCCGGCCTCAGCGGTGAAAGTTCGTTTACCCCGTTGAATTTAAGGAGCTAGTTCCTTCAGAGCGAAACCGGTACCGGGGCTAGCCCTTAAATGGCGAAAACAAGTTCGCTCACCCCTCCACCGGACAATCCTTCAATCAGCGTCGAAGATAATGCGATCAATCGATGCGATCGAACCCAGCCAGCAGAATCCGAACAATCACCGCGATGAAAGGGGTTGCCCTCTGATCAGAGCTGTCCAAGTACCACGCGGAACAATCCGTCCAGAATGGACGACCCTATAGCCTCGCTCATGCCTGGCATGTCCAACGTGACGTACCCCGATCTCCAAGACCACAGCCAGGACTCGTTCGGTCTCTACAACGACACCCACCCCGAGGACCCGTTCGTAAGCAACCACCACCCGCCCTACAGAGACTCCCTGTACATCGTGGTGCCCGTCACTATCATCTACATCTCCATCTTCGTGACCGGGACGATAGGAAACATCAGCACGTGCATCGTGATCGCGCGCAACAAGTCCATGCACACAGCCACCAACTACTATCTATTCAGCCTGGCGGTGTCCGACCTGTTGCTGCTCGTCTCCGGCCTGCCGCCCGAGATCTACATGGTCTGGTGCAAGTACCCCTACATATTCGGCGAGGGGTTCTGCGTTCTGAGAGGCCTGGCGGCCGAGACGTCCGCGAACGCCTCGATCCTCACCATCACAGCCTTCACCGTCGAGAGGTACGTGGCCATTTGCCATCCGTTCCTGGCGCACACCATGTCAAAGCTAACCAGGGCGGTGAAGCTGATCCTGATCATCTGGCTCGTGTCACTGTCCTTCGCGCTACCTCAGGCCCTCCAGTTCGGTCTCGTCCAGCACAACGTGAATCCCAATATAGTGATGTGCACCATGAAGAGGATCATAGTGAACCACTCGTTCGAGCTCTCCACGTTGCTCTTCTTCATGATACCCATGAGCCTGATCACTGTCCTCTACGCGCTGATAGGATTGAAGCTGAGAAAGTCCAACATGATGAAACGCAGCCACGGAAGCGAGGAGGGTGGCAGCTGCAGGCACCATCCTGGCAGGTCCTCGAGGAGAGTCTTGAAGATGCTTGGTAAGTAACACGGTGTTTCGATTACGAGTTTGGGGAGTGGGAGGTTAGGGGTTGTCGTGGGAGTGATTGTTCCTCTTTTCTTGACTGACAAGCAAAGCTACTAGGGTACGTAGATTCTCATTAGGGGTGCGTTCACTCTCGTCGTTGATCCGAGAACTCATCTAACGACGTGACAAGATTTCGTAACCCTATTATGATTAATTTCTAAACTGGGTCAGTGGTTGCAAACGTCCCCAAAGCTGCAGACGATGTAAACACGAAATTTCTCATCGGAGGTGAGTTTAAGCTCCCTATTGTTCCTGCAAATGACTCGTTGCAAAATTATGTATCATGCACCGGTGTCTCCGTCGCGATGGTAATTTGTACATTAGGACTATGGTCGCGACCGTTCATAGGGGCTATGTACCCTGATTTACGTTGACACGCGGGGAAGGGCTTCATCCCTTGTCGCTGACAGAGTTTTCCTCGCTCCTGATTGAATTAATACGGGTCTGAGCCTTCCTCCCGTTGGATTCGGCTGATAATCAGACCTGACAAAAATCTTTTTCCTTTGTTCATTTTTTCAAAGAGATTTAGAAATTATCTGAGATTTAGAAGTTTTATTATGTAAGTCGAGATGAATGGAAACGGAGTTCATCGCTTCTTTTGTTCGCAGCATAATGTTATCGTTCGGTACTTGGTGTCTCTAGATTCTTTTTCCTCTGTGCACCGGAAATTTAATACGGGGATCGTATAAAAAGCGAAATGAATATGAAAGAGAGTCAATTTCGGTTTGTCGGGGGTGGAAACGGAATTCGTCTCTTCCTTTGTCTCGCAGCATCATTGTTCGGTAGTTACCGCTTACCTTGGACTCTCTACATTCTTCTCTGTGCTTAGGTAAACACGATCGTTTTCATGAGATATTACCCAAAAGCGAGCGATTTTCTTGCCGCGCGTCGTCTCCGAAATTTTATTCCCGAAAGACAGCGGTTGAATATTAAATTTGAAAAGACGCTACCGGTCCTGGTTCGCGAGTGCCTCTTTAGCGAACTGAAAACAGGATCCTCGTATGCAAATTAGGACGCAAATATATATATATATTAATAATTTTTTATTAGAGCTCCGCTGTTTAAGGGTTGACACGGCGAATTTCAATTTGTTTAAATATTTGCGAATCGTACGCACTTGTGGATCGTGTTCCAAAATTTAAAAATAAATAAATAGCCGTTTTTAAAAAGGATCCAATGTAAACAGTCACAATTGTTCAGAGATGAGAGTATTCATATTCATAAATATGAATATGAATAAATTTATGAATAACAATTTGAATAACGCGTTAATAACGTATACGTGTTTATTAACGCAACTATAATGTTTTTTATAATAATAATAATAATAACAAGGATTGTTTTATTTGCAATTTTTGTAATTACCCAGTTGGTTGGAGTGAGAACGATTCTTTGTGGGATAGTAAACAATGTAAGTAAGTGATTAACGTTATTCAATGAAGAGTTAATTATAACTAAAAATGTGAACAACGCGCTATTTATAAATGTATTCATATTCATATTTATGATTCATATTTATGAATATGAATACCCCCATCTCTGCAATAGTTTAAATAAAATAGATCGAATAACGAGTATATTTCAAGCTTCCGAAGACGGATTCCTGTACTTTTACGCAGGAAAAAAATCAAAACTATTATGTATATTAGTCGAGGTCAGCAAAGGTAACATCCTGAGTTCCCATGACACATATTAAGTAGGCTGTAGTAAAACAGGCCGAACCATGGTATGGCGCCTCAGGATATTGTTACCTACAGAGACTTTACTCTGTTTCGATATTTCCATCGAACATCTCCTCCGTGAGATTTGCCCTTTCGAGCGGATGTGGCCGCGGCCCTTCAATAAAGTTTTTACTAAGAAACTAGGGCGCGTCGCGGGACTGATTTCCACGGAAAAATAGGAGCTACGTGCCTCTACGCATCTCCGCATACGGCAGCATAGGCTTCATAGAATCAACTCCCACTACCGATTTTTAACCGAATTCAGAGTATATAAACCGATGCGTTTTGCATCTCGGGGGCTCATTTTCTTAAGGACACGTTGAAGTTACGTCGCACTATACCTTAAACCCGCGAGGCAAGATCGGGAAAAATCCCGTTCGAGCAAAGTAAAGCAAAGTAAAGTTCGGGTGATAGTAATCAGGAAGAAATAAGACGCATATCGTGTTACCTCGTCGTTAGATCGGGAAGGATCCCCTTCGAACATAGTCTTGAAACGTTTTGGTAAATACTCGTTCTATCGTAAACGTGACCCCCGCATTTCAACTCGGTACGTAACTTTGAGAGTAGGAATTAGTTTCCGCGATATATATACAGAAAACATTTATATAGTCCTAATTAAACCTTTGAATACATACATAGTTTGGTAGAGTAATCCTAACTATTTTCTTCAGTACCTATCCTATTGAATTATTAAATTAAAGAGACCCACAGCAATACACCTTTACCGCTCGAGGTGTATTGCATAGTAGAAGTTACGAGGCCCCAACTAACAAATCCTAGTGGCAACCCTATGTTAGCCATACATAGGCGCGTCCACGACAACTTTCCAACCTCCTAGTAGTAACTCTACGTTAGCCATACGTAGGTGCGTCCACGAAAGCACATCCCTATTAACAAAATTGTTCAAACGACAACTATCCTCGGCAACGCGGTCGAAACAAGCCTCACGGCCCTCGGCTCGTAACAGTATTATACAAAATTATGTTATCTACGTAACGAACGGGATACGGTAGAAATAAATTGTTTATTTAGCGGGATAACTGTGATTCAAAAACGGATACTGCATAACGCAAAGGGTATCGGTCCTGAGGGCAACCCTAACGGTCTCCGAGGGGGATCGGGCCATTTTGCGTTTAAATAGACATTACTATTTGATCGCTGTACGCAATTACTTTCGCTATTGATATAACCGGAGACAGTAATTACAGAACTGTCGATTTGCTCTCCGTCGAATCACCTAACAGAGTATATAAACGTCGCAGGTAATCTCGGCGACCTTTAAAGCGCATCGGAAACAAGCGTACCTTTAATGACGCCGTTACACGATTTATGACAGCACGATGCAGCAATAACTGTCGATGCCAACCACCGTCATCGACCGTATGGATTTAATTAAATGAATACAATTATAAGTTCATAAACAGCGATTGGGGGGGGAGGGGGAGGGGGAGGGGAGGGAATTAATACTGGGTGAAAACAGATCGGTTGAATAACTCGATTACTATTCATTTTCTAACGGCACTTTCGCGGACAGCGATTGATCGATTACTCGGACGATCTTGGATGCTGTTAATTTTTTTTAATCCTAGTGACGCGTCAAGGACATTTCACGGTCGTTCGTTTTCTGTTAGCAGAACGATAGGTTCGTTTCCCTCAGGGGCTGTAGCAGTATTTGTAGCTACAGTACGGGCCTAGCAACCCCGAGGTACCCGAGCTATAGGAGGGCCAACGGGTCCCAATAGATGAGGAGTGAGAGATACCGCAAACAGTATTAAAATAACGCAGGAGTCATGATAAGAAGAATGGAAATAAGCTGGTAACAAGTAGACTGCGGATCTTTACGCAAAATAAAATCTTCGCGAACGTGCCTACAAGAATTGAACCTAAATAGGAATTTATTTTATTCTGCAAATATTCTAACGTGAACTTTACTTTCAATCTTTTTTATGTTCTTGCGTATTGTTTGCATTTTGTAGTTTCTTGCACATTCAAGTCTCGTATAAATGCATAAAGATCCGCAGTCTAGTAATAAGTAAGCAGTAGTGCAATAACTTTGTATAATAAGTTACGCACTTTAAATAGAAGAAGTTAGGCGGACTTTTTTGTTTGTTCGTTTGTTTGTTTTGTAATGGGAGCTTGTTAGGCGGACGTGGTGGTTTGATACGGAAGGTCATCAAAAGTCACGCGAGGAACGATTACGGAAGACAATAGGTGCTTTTAGGAGACAGATGTAACAGTTCGGGAATGTGTTTATTTATGTTTCAAGTTCTAATTCAAGTGTTCGTGATGGCGATCGGGAACGACGGTTGTTTCCTCTGAAACAGTTTGATGTGAATGTTATTTTCGTCCAGTGTAGCGCATGATTTTACAACGTATGGATCTTTCGTATCGTTAGCGTCCTGCGATTTCGGGGCGCGCGAGTCTTGCACGAAAAGTGCTGGTTTCTCGTTGGAATTAAAAATTTGTATTATTCGAAGTCGTCGGAAGATGAAATTGTGAAATTGTAAAAAGTGCTAGGTTTACGAAGCAATGTTTAAATGAACGAAGTCGAGTTATTAAAATTAATTAGGAGGCAAAGATGAATTTATACACATATGCTTGTTTTTTTTTATATGGATACAAGTCAGCAGAAGCGGTTGGAGAAAAATATAAACGGTTCCTATGAAACCCTGGGAAATTTGAAATGGGTAAAGATGACCGTAAAGCTGGCGTTAATAATCTAATGAAAATATATTAACTCGATAGAAAAAAAAGATTAAATGTCAGGAAATACTTGTTCGTCCCTTTGTATCATTTATCGTAGCAGAAATAGTCGTTTTTTTCGAAGACATGCGGTCCATCTACGCGCGATTCAGCCTTGATAAGGTACAGAGGTATCCCAGATTGTATTAGCCTGATAAACAACTGCTTTGCATATTTCCCATGAAAAGATACGGTCACAAATCGTACGATTTATATTCGAATCGGTGGACGCGACAAATTGTCTTGTTATATAGCCTATGCGTCGCGCAATATTGCCACGATATCGCGATGTTCCCGTTCTTTGGATGCCCTCAATTGATTTCGTTCGATCGGCCCGCGTAAAGACAACGTGACCTTTCATATGTGCAACGAATCCTTAAAAGAACGAATATAGAGATTTATCGAAAAATCATAATCGTTTTCTGCCAACCTGAGACTCGTAAAATTTTTCTACAAAATTCGAATTTTGTCACAATAACTAAATTCGTTA